GCCGGGGTTGGAGGCTGAGTGTGCCGGGGGCTCCTGGCAGCTTTGGCCCTGCGGGTCTTGTGGGGTGACCCAGGGGGACATGCGGAAAGACTGCGGGGGACCTGGGTGGGTGGTGGGAGCCGGGGCAGGCTGAGATGCAGGGGTGCCTCGGTCGGGGGCATCTCACGAGCTGCAGCAAGTGCCAGCCTGTGGCTGCTCTCCGGCACTCGCTTGGGCTTAGAGAATGGCTGGATCTGCACCGATAACCCATCCTGTGCCTGCACCGATAACCCATCCTGTGCCTGTGCGGACAGCCCAGCCCAGCGCCCAGCTGGGCAGGCAGCTGCGTCACCCGGCAGCACGAGTGCCAAGTCACGGGGGTACTTGTGGCTGCCCGGGCCTGGCACACACCGTGGCATAACCCTCTCTGGGTCTGTCGGTGCCATGACCCGGGACCAACCGGCTTTCCAGGGCTGACAGTGTGCTGTGGTGGAAAGCGGTTCTCAGGGCTGGGGCCGCAGATACCGTGCTGCAATGGTGAGCGGCTCCTGGGACTGGGGACACCACACCGCACTGGCGAGTGGCTCCCAGGGCTGCATGCGATGAGGCGGCAGTGGTCCTTGCTCCCATGGTGCAAGCTGAGCAGGGCTCTTCCCGGGGCAGCCTGGTAGGCAGGCAGGCAATGCTGCGGAGCCTGAGCACACCCTGCCATGGCTGCTGAGTCACCACCCCTAACAAACGCTGACACTGATGCACCAAACCCACTTGCCTGCTTCCAGCCCGACAGGTCCAGACACAGGCTGGGAGACCTCCTGCACGGCTATGCTTTAATGGGCCAGGTCAGCGTGCAGCTGGGGAGCCAGAGCCTTCATGTTCCTCTGCCCAGCCCAGCGCTCGGCACCATGGTGGTTTTCCTGTGCCTGCCCTGCCGGCAGGCGCAGCGTGCCCACAGGGCTGCCTGGCCTGGGCAGGGGAGCCGGGTGGCCTCATTCATGGGGAAGGTGTCGGCCACTGCTCTCCTGACGAGCCAGACACGGGGCTGGAGCTGGGTCGGTGCCTGGCAGCTCCCGGCTCCAGCCTTGCTGCTCCTGGGCAGTGCAAAGGGGGCTGCAGGTTCTCTCCAGCCAGAAAGCTTCACTGTCCCCGAAGGCTTCTGAAAACAGCCCGAAGTTGTTCTCCAGGCTGGCTGGGGTGTTTACAGGAGGGGGAGTTGTTCTCTGCTAACAGTAACCGCCCACGGAGAAGGGCTCCGCTGGCAAGCCAGTCCCGTGTGGAGCTGTGCCCTGGGACAGGACGGCAGTGCTGGCCCTTGTCCTGCTGCGCCTGCCGCGTCCGCAGCAGCTCTGGGCAGTGGGACCACCCACGTCCTTGTGCCATAGCATCCCCGCGGAGCTGCCAGACGAAGTGCCCCTGTGCGTCCTTGGCCACTGCAACCCGGAGGAGAGGATCTTCCCCAGTACCCCACGGCCCCGCTGCTTCCAGCGCCACACCGCGATGGCTCAGGAAGAAGGCTGGATCCCAGTCCCTGGCTGCAAGCAGAGTCCTGTCGTCCCGCTCCTTCCTGGAGAGTGTGACACTAAGGGGAGAGATACAGTCCCTGAGACCCCAAGGGTCTGCTGCTGGGGACAGACAGCACTGTCCCATGCTGAAAGCGGAGAGGAGGGTCTTTAAATGTCCCCATCCCCTTCCCTGTCCCTTTGCTGGCTCTGCTAGCAGCCGGTGCCATCCCTGGGCCGCAGCAGCACCAGGGATCCAGCACCTGGCACAGGCTGGGTACCGGGGGGGCCCAGCAGCCCAGGCTTCTCCCCAGCACGCTCAGCCCTGCATCCCCAGCTGCCAGCTGAGGTGGCCACGCTGCCGCCCATGGCAGCAGAGTGAGGGGAAATGTCTCTGGGAAAGGCCGGCTCACCCCATTGTCTCCTGCGCCTTCCCGCTCTCCAGCAAGCAGCGCTCTGCCGCAGCTGGGTTGGCCCTGGCAGTGCCGTGCTGTCGTGCTCCTGCTGGCCCCGCTCCAGCACAGAGCAGAGGAATGTCCACGCGCCCGGCTGAGCTCCGAGCACCCTGGCAGCCCCCCTCTCCCCTTCATGCAGGCCTCACCTGGGACTCAGGCACGTCTCTCTCTCTGCTCGTAAACGGAGTGAAGCTTCTGAATGAGAAATATTTTATCTTTCCCTTCCTGCAACAGCAGAGACATTGCAGTGAGCAGCCGTGGGATGGGATCTTGCACATCTGAGGTGGCAGCGCCGTCAGGGCTAGAGCCCGAATCTGGCAGTCCCGGGGCTGGACCAGGGCATGGAGCAGCCGGGACTGCCAGGACTGGCCAGGGGCAGTGTGTGGAGCTCACGCACGTTGGCAATCTGCTCCTTCAGCAGCTGGATAATCCTCCGCTGGCCTCTCACCACCTGGATGTTGAAGTAGATCACAGCTCTGCAATGACAGGGACAGGACGGTGGCAGCCGGGGCGGGAAGCTGGGGGATGCTGCGCTCCTGGCACCAGGCCGGGGCGCAGGGCTCTGGAGTGACACCCCAGCTCCCAGCCCCCTGCTCAGGGCTGTGACAGCGGGACCCTCAAAGCGTGGGCCCAGGTTCAGCCTTGGGCTTGGGTCCCTACTCACAGCAGGACCCCGGACATGAAGAACAGGAGGAAGGTGTTCTCCACCAGGTGCTGGTGGACCCAGGCGAACCAAGTGATGTTCGGGTTGGACTTCTCCAGCACTTGCACCCAGGTCTTCCCTGACTTGTAGATTGTTTCCAGCCCCTGGAAGGGACCACAGGTTTCTGACGGCCGCACCCTGAGCAGACAGAGCGATGGGGTCGGTCAGAGCGATAGGGTTGCTCAGAGCTACGGGCAGCCCAGCTGGCCACTACCCCCAGCCCAGGGCACTGCCCGGCCTCAGATGTCCAGCCCTCCAGGGACCAAGCCTCGCCTGCCCCAGCCATTCCCAGTGGCTGGACGAGGGGGTCCTCATCCCCTTGTCCTGCACGAGGAGCAGCTGAAAGAAGTGGGCACAGGCCAACCGCTGCTACGCTCTCTGCAATGACCAGCGGCTGGGCAGCATCTCCCTGCCTGGGGCAGCAGTGCACAGCCCTGTGCTGGGCACGATGTGCCCTGCGTGCTGTCAGGGCCAGGGAGGCATGGTCTCCCCAAGTTCCTCTCCTTCGCCAGGCAGCCACCGGTTCTGCGCCCCAAGCCATTGTCCAGTGGGTACTCACGACCAGATGGTGTAGGAGAGGAAGATGGCTGCACCCAGGAAGGACGGGAAGCACAGCAGGGTGATGAAGACAGTGCTCATGCGAGATGCTTGCCAGGGCTTGCTGGGGGACTGGCAGTTCTGCATCAGGCTGGTCTGCAGACAGGGAGCAGAGTCCTGCATGCTGACATCTCCTGGGAAGCGGCCCCAGGAGATCAAGCAGGACAGCTGCCCCCATCCCGCTGTCCCATCCCTCCCATCCGCTGGGAGCTGAGCGAGCTCAGGGACAGGGTGTCCCTAGCAACACCTCCTCCCCTCCCACAAGGACGGCACTGCTCACTGCACGGTGCAGCACCTCTGCTGCACGCTACTGTGGCAGGGCGTAGCGTCACCGCAGGGCTGCCCGTTGTGAGAACGCAGGGGGAGCTGTGGGGTGGGGGGCAGCTCACACCTTCTTGATATAGAACAGCAGCAGCAGCTTCAGCATCTGCACGGCCGGCAGGAGTGGTGCGAAGAGAATGCCCAGCCTGGGAGAGAGGGGGGAAGATGAGCTCATCCCAAGTCTGGGCCCCGCGGGAGCCAGCGATGGGCAGAGCTGGGAGCGGTGGCAGGGCACCATCGCCAGCTGTGGTCAGGCTTTTGCAAAGCAAAAAGCAAGCGCACGACGCCCCGTCCCAGGTTTGCTGCGCAGCCTGTGCTGGGGCTGGGATCTCACCGACCCCCAGGACGGCTGCAGCGCTTGTGGCTCCCAGGTGTGTTGCAAGTGGGAATGCAGCAGCACATGTGTGGATCCCCTCCTCGGGCAGGGGGGCGCAAGGCCGAGGGCTGCCGAAAGGTGGGGGGTGGCAAAGCAAGAGCCCAAGCAGCCGAGTGGACAGGCTGGAGGGGAGCAGGTCCCCTGGAGCAGCGAGTGCCATTATGGTCTGGACAAACGAGAGGGGCTGTGTGTGCACTGGAGCCTGCTCCTTCCCCAGAGCTCTGGAGGGCACCAGCTGGGCGAGGGACGCTGGACCGGTGCCGGGATGCTCTGCTGCTGATCCCCCTGTTGCTCTCACCCCATCGCCAAAGTCAGACCTCCCAGGTGAGCGTGTGGGTTGTGGCTGTAAGGTGCTGGCACCGGGCACTATGACTGTCACGCTGCCTGTCTCCCTCATCCCACCCATGCAGGGCCGGGGGGGGTCTCCCATGGCCCCGCTCAGTGAAACACGTGCAGCTCCCCATGCCTGGTCCCTGCCAGTTGCGGGGCTCACAGGGGACCATGAGGTGTTCACCAGCAGAGCTGTGCCAGGCAAGATGGCACCTCACCAGGCCAGGGTCTGCCCGTAGATCAGCTCCAGCACGTTTCGGGCGATGTCAAACTCAGGCCTCTGCTTCCTCTTCAGCCTCTTCTCTAAGATCAGCCTGGGAAGAAGCAGAGCTCTGCTCCCACACTGCCGCTGTGGGGGGGATGCTCGGCAACCCATCTTCCCCCTCAGATGGTGGCAGAGCCTGGGTGCACCAAGGCAGCGCCACACGGCGGGCAGCGGAGAGCCGGGGCCATGCTGGTGATACCACGCCGGCAGAGGGACCCCTCCTGGGGCACGTTACCTCCAGACCAGCTCCCCGAAGAGCGTGTCCAGCAGGGTGAATATGAAGTCCATCACCACGAATCGATACAGGTCCTGCCCCACACACGTCTCCCAGCACTGGGAAGACAAGCAAAGGTGGCATCAAGCATGCAACGAGGCCTCTCTCCCCCGTGGCTTTTCCGTGGCCCCCATGGGGTGTGAGAGGCTGCGGGACCTTTTCCTCCCCTGCACCTCTTTCCACAGCCACCCCGTGTTTGGGGTGCCCCTGTCTGGCTGTCACCCCCCTCTCCCTGGCAAAGGAACCGATGGTGCCTGCGGTGCCGTCCGGCAGACCCTGTGATGCCAGCCCCCTGCCCCTGCTGCCTGCTGGTGCTGGGACTGCAGCCTTGGCTTTGCCCTGCACTCCCTGAGCAAGGGACAGTCCGGATGGAATGGCCCAGCTGGTTCACATGGGTGCCATGTGCTCCTCGCACAGATTCACAAAGAGCCCAGCCCTGCCCGGCCCCGGGGCAGCAGTGCTGACCTCTTCTGTCGAGCAGACGACTCTCCGGCTGAGCCACTGGTAGCAGAGCAGGCCGAGGACCACCATCTTCTGAAGGAGGTTCCTGGGGAGCAGGAGTGGGGCCGGGAGCCCCTGAGCCCTGGGGGCGGAGGGGCTGAGCCCCACAGATGGGGTGCCCGGCCCCAAAGCTTCCTCCCACACTGCAGGTGGGGCTGCAGGACACTCCACCCCGCCCCGGCCAGCCTACCTGCAGATCGCCACGTAGACCTCTGCCACGGGGGAGTCCTGCTTCTCCCACATCGCCAGCAAGTTGTACAGGTGGGGCATCAGCGCGTTGAGAAGAGACACCATGAGGGGCAGGACCAGCAGGATGACTTCCTGCTGCCACTCGCTGCTGCCCCG